TTGTGCAAGTTCTCCCACTTAAAAAGATGAGAGAAGCCTGTAATTGATATCATAGGTAGATCTTAACTATGAGAGACAAAATGAGAAAACAAATCTAGACAACAACATTGTCTGATTTGGAAAGAATTTATTTTCAAATTATGGTGGAAAATAAGTATTTGGTCAATATCAAAAGTTCATCTCAATACTTTGTTCTATATCCTTTGTTGGTAATGACAACTTTCTGTAAGTCTTCACAAGGTTGGCACAGACTGCAAAAAAATTCTTTCCAAATCAAACAATGTGATTGTCTGGATTTGTTTTCTCATTTTGTCTCTCATAGTTGAGGTCTACCTATGATGTCAATTACAGGCCTCTCTCATCTTTTTAAGTGGGAGAACTTGCACAATTGGTGGCTGACTAAATACTTTTTTGCCCCACTGTATTCTGCCTTTTTAATATTTCCTAAAATATTTCATTCTTCTAGGAGAGGAGTGGGTGCTAACTTTCTACACCAGAAAAAGCAGTGTATGGCTCATGATGCTCATTTATGCTTCTAAAATAATACATTTTGACTTTTTAGGAATAACTTTATCAGATATGGGGGTTATCAGATATGGAGTTTAGAAAGGACAATTTTTAAGGACATTGAAATAGATTCATATTCATGATGTTGAAGATTTCATTCAAAATATGTGCCTTAGCAATTTTAAAATGTGTTATATTTTAAAATGAGAAGATAGACCAATATGTTTTATATGGTTAAAATGTCATACTTTAATCCTTAGTTTCTCTTTCCTCTTAACATTTAGTTTATTTTACTTAAAATAAAGCATGAAGTTTTTAAAATTGTAAACAAAACATTAGTTTTGGTTTTCTGTATTTCACAAATTCACTTTTTAAAAAACACGTTCCCTTCACTTCAGTGGAATTTTTTTGGCAGTTGACTAAAAGAGAACTACTAGTGTAGATGTAGATATATGTATAAATATTTTCTTTGTATCATAGCCCTCATTATACGCTGTGCTAAAAATGGACAGTGAGGTACAAAGAGATGGGAGAATTCTAGATTTGATTGATGATGCATGGAGAGAAGATAAATTGCCATATGAAGATGTGGCAATACCTTTGGTAAGTTCCTGGATAATCAATATATTTTTCCCATTTATTTTAGACTATTTTCTCGGTTTCAAAAAGCTCCCAATGAAGCTTTTGCTAAGAATTTTATTTAAACCCAGTCAAGAATTAACATTCCAAAAACCTGATAAAGTTTCTCCCTATGAGCAGAAAAGTGAGATATAAATAGTACAAATATTTATAATAAAACTAAAGCAGCAGTGATGCAGCTGTTGTTAATACAAGATATATACAAACATAATCTTATGGATGCCACATACAGTTCTTTTAATATTTTCACCTACCTACTTTCAAACTTTGTTTGAAATGTTTTTAATACAAAAGTTGTGACATGATCTATGTTTAAAGGGGATAAGCTGATTCAAAGTGTAAATTGAGAAATATGTGACACATATTAGCAGCTCTTTAAAAGAATTGTCATTCTCTGCACTACTTTACTCCAGAAAAGAGTATTTGATTAAAGGAGGTGGGATGTACTGGAGCAGGAAGGAGGAATTATCTTTCCTGTTTACCAATAAAAATTGCTTCAGCAAATGATAGCATGGTTTGGTTTCTGTTCATTTGCCATCCTATACGAGTCCTAAAATTGTTTTACCTGAAACAAAATAAAAATTACAAATCATAACGCAAGCAGAGCAATTCGAGATTGGGTGGATGCACAGTTAAAAATGTTTTATAAATGCATAAAATAAAATAAATTTAAGAAATAAAATAATTTAATGTTGGTTTTGTAATTGTGATATGAATAAACTATTAAATAAAATTACAGCAAGTAAGCAAAACAGTATATTTTCATAAAATAGTTTTAACTGCATTATCAAGAACCATATCTTGTACTTTTGTATATTAGGTCCATCAGTTATGTTGATATTTTTATAGCATGTATATAAACTATAACATCTTTTTTAGTTTAGTATATAATGCAAGAACCTATTTTGTTAACTCTTTAAGTTGTATAGTATTGAGATATACATCAGGAAGAGTCAGTGTTATGGAACTTTTAATTTTACCATTTTATGAATGTTTATTTAATGTACAGATAGTCCTCAACTTACAGCAATTGAGACCAGAATTTATTGCTAAGCAATATCATTACGAAGTACAACTGCATCACTTAGAAATGGCAATCCCTTCAATCTCCATTGGCATAGTTAACTGAATTCCATGGTCATTAGGCAAGGCAACTTCCTACTTACGTATCACAACAAAGACAATGGGGAAGCAGGAGGAAGTTGCAAACCTCAGGCTTACAAGCAGGTAAGTGTGTGCTGCCAAGTGAGGAGTCATTGTGGGGGAGGACCAGGTAGGGGCTGCACAAATGGCCAATGCAAACACAAATGGTCTGGGAATTTATATGGGAGAGGGAGATTTACCAAAGTGACTTGTGTTCTTCCCTGCCATCTTCTTCTATTTTCTGAGGAAGCCAATAAGGAAGATTGCAAATGGCAATCATGTGATTGCAAGACACCTGACAACCAATCATAAGTACAATGGTTATTGAGTATGCAGATGACAATGCTATGACCGCAGGGGTGCTGAGATGGCTGGAATTCCAAGGACCGATTATAACCACGGTTCATTCAGTGTCATCATAACTTCAGATAGTCGCTGAATAAATGGTTGTAAGTCGAGGACTGCCTGTATGCTATATCATCTGAGTGGTTTATTTTTCAGTACATATGGGGAAAGGGAATTAATCATTTAATAAAACAAGGTGATATAAGATAGATCCTGAAGAATCAATATGACACTCAATGTAATAAGCAAAACTATAATTACAAACTTAATTTACAAATGCCTAGCATTTGAACCAGTAATCTATTAACAATTGCATACATATATTCTTATGCAGGATGCACTTAAAGATATTCTAGATTTGTAATTAAAAACAAAATATTGCTTACATTTCCATTTGTAGATTTAAAAACAAAAACAAAACCCAGAGTTTATTATTGAAAATGGAGCTTTTTTTCTCCACTCAGATCTTTTTTTTTTAAATTATTCAATGATAAATATTTTTTATTTTCAGAATGAACTTCCAGAACCAGAACAAGACAATGGTGGAGCAACAGAATCAGTAAAAGAACAAGAAATGAAATGGACTGATCTGGCTTTGCAGTATCTTCATGAGAATATTCCTACAATTGGAAATTAATCTGTATAAATTAGCATAATAGCCACTTTATTCAGAAGAATTTCTTGTCAGTTTTGGTTTTCAGTCTTTTGCCCTGTTAGTCTTGTTTTGCAACAGCTGATAATTAATTGTTTTAATTAAACAAGGTATTTTGTAGATCCTGAGAGATTTCTTACGTTTTGCCAAGTGCTAAAGATTTTCCTTGAAGTTGCCAGCAGAGGTCGCATAAGTACAACAGTTTCCATGAGTATGAATTGCTGTTTAATCAATTTGTAATATGTTGCAAAAATTCTATATGTTTGCACTTCTTGATTTCAATAAATTCTTATTTGTGGTAAATACATTCTGTGGAAATGTAGGCAGTTCTGCTGATAAAAGCTTTTTCACTTCATATTTTTAATGCCATCTAGATGATGAATTGAAGGTACTCAAAATATATATTACCACACGTAATAAAACTTTAATAGCTTCAACTACAGACAGGGTTAATGCACTGAAGTAGCTAAGGGAGAAATATTTAAACTTTCTTCCATCTACTGATTTTCTAGAGCATTTCCTTCCAAATGTATCATCACATACTTCCTGAATTTGCAGATATGTTCATAAGTTATATATGTAATATTGTAAATAAGAAAAATGGTGAAAAGTCAAAGTGAGCTGTTTTAAGTACTTCGTTGCATGCTGCATTTCTTAAAAGACATAATACTAAAAAAGTTTATTCTAGAAAATTGGACCTCAAAATGACAACATTGCATCAATCTTTAGAGTACTTAAGGTTCTTGGTGAGATTCTTCACAAGTGATATGGAAAATCCAGAAACAATGCCATTTCTACACAAATTTAGTGTAAGCATTAAGACTTTAATGCACTAGTCCTTGACATTACCAGAACTGGGACCAGAACACTTAAAATTGAACACTTAAAATAAGAAGTATAATTTATTACGAGAGACAACTTTTACTTCTTTTCCCATCTTTTTCCCCCTAAGCCCAGTAATATAATAATTTTATACAGCGGTTTTTAGCTACAGTTGGGTTGATAGCCAAAAATCAAGAGGTTACTATTTTAGGAGGAAATTTTCTCTAATTTTGTTGATCAACTAAAGTTATACAAGGGACACAGTGTACAAAAGAGAAAAAGGAAAACAGCTGTAATAATTATATAAATATGATACATGTTTGCTAAATCAGGATGTCTGGATTATAATGATTGATACCATGATACTGAGGGCAATCCTGAGCCAATCAAATCAGCCAAAAATAGTTTGCTTAGTTTGGAATGCAACAGCCAACTTTACTTGGCCCCTGACAGCCTTTAAGGCTGAACTGAACGAAGGCTGAACTGAGAGGGAAAATCAGCTTATGGGTCTTAACCCAATAACTTGTCCATGCAGAGCTAAAACACAATTTTGCGTTATATCTCAACTCAATAGAAGAAAAGGAAACCCGTTTTTAAAAACATCAGTTACATCATAACAGTGTTTTAAATATAATATTGTAGCATTTTAACACAAAATCGAATTGAAGTTGCCCTTAAGAGTAGAAAATATTTGGTTATATTATTAAAGACACAAGATATTCTCTCTTAACACTCAGATTTTATTTTTTCAATTGGATTTCCAGGCAACAGACTGTGCTTTAGGTACAAATGTCTCTTTAGTAAAACAAATCTCTGAAATACATTACAACATCTTGTTTTCTGTGAAATTGCAATATGCATCCAATCTCAACTGAAAAAGACAAATTGTTCAAAATCAAATGATATTCATTTGTCATTTTGTCCAAAATATTGTATCATATTTTTCACTGTTTGAAAGCAGAAATAAAAATACTATTAAAAAGAGAGCAATAACATGTTTTACAATCTAGTACAATAGATACTAAACAAATGCCTCATTCATTTTCTGAACTATTAAAATAGATATCCTCCAGTCTGGTGCCTTATAAATGCAGTAGGCTTGCTACTCCATAATAGTTATTATGCCAGAGAATTCTAGAGGATCCAAGAAACCAGACACCCCCAGACTGAGAAAGTTGATTTAAAGAGTTTCTTTTCCTATTTCCTACTTGCACTCCATCTTCCCAGTAAACCTTTCACTTCCCAGGTAATTCTGTTTCATAGTCTCAGTGATTTAAACCATTAATTACAATAGGAAGAAAAAAATAGTCATTTCCAGTCTCCAAAATCACATAGCAATGGAAATTATTAATAGTGTCAACACTAGTTTGACCTGGTTAAAGTATAGAAACAGAATGCATCTGAGAATCCACACCATCATTTCAAAGAGCAAAATAGATACATATTTTACACTAGGGAAACGATTCAGAGCCAGATTTGTGTGTCACACTGAATCATAAACTAACTAGCAACACTTTAGCTTAACAAATTGGATGAATCCAGACGGTATGATTAGTCTGCAGTTGCAATTGCATTCATTGTGCAATTCAGGAATGTTAGTGCCTACTATGATTAAGAAAATGTAAATATGTTGTGAAAATATAAGTGTCTTTCAAATGAACAATCACCCCATAGAATATGAAGGGAAAACTATAATCGTCTGATTGCAAATGCCCAATTCTAATTCATTTCAATTAACTGATCCCTAAGATGTTGATGAGTAAGTCAGTTCATTTAATTTTTCATTATATTGAGTTTTCTCAGGAACAGGCTTATGTTTCATGTTTCTGTTCTGCTTTTGCAGCTTCAGATTTTATTTTCTTTTATAGCAACATCAGCAACTATATATTCATTAGGTTTTAATCTAATCCATGTCATAAACATAATTAATATTCCAAAAGATTTTCAGCTTTCCTTGAGTAAAAGATGGAGTGCCATCCAACCTTAGGGGCTCATCATCTGCCACTATATCATCAATCACTTTATTTTTTTTCTATTTGCATGATTTTCTTGTTAAATCAGGAGTGATTTGGCACTGCCTTCTTTTGCTCATGAAATCGTGCCTTTGCCATTTTCACTGACTTTATCATTAACTATATTGCTGCTGCCCAGTATAGATGATCACTTACTTTAGTGAAACAACTGGAATGTCTTCATACCTTGGGTGAATCTGTTGGTATATATACTTTTAATATATACTCTTACAGTCACTATTACTACCACAGTGAGCCACTATAACAGAATTTAGGATGCCAAACAGGATATATTCCAATACATACCAGTTATTCACTTCATACAAAAGCAAGGGCAGTCTACACCAAATGGCACGTAATCCCTATGAAAATCTTGGCTCTAATGCTCCCTTAATTTCTTCTCATTGTAAACCGAAAAACTGAATTGCCGGGGAAAGAGTGGGAAAGGCTCCAGTTCTCTTCTTTCCCTCATCTGCACTCATTTCCATCATCTTTATGCACATATGTACCCCTCCACATTACTAAATGTTTAGATATGTTTTTATATTTTGGGAGACAATTTAAGGAGCAAGCTGTTGTTGGCAACTGAAACAATATTGGAATGTTAATGTGGACCATCTGGACTACTTGCTAATGTCGAAATATTAGTGTGATGTGGTAATTTTAGAGTATATGCCAGAGAAGGAAGAAAGAGCTGTTGGTACTTTTTGCCCTAAAATCCAATAACAATTAACATATTATTTAAGTCTCCATAGAAAATAAAATGCATAATGTATATGTACATTGGGGGGGGAAGTGAGGATGTGCATTGATTCTCTTCTATCCCAGTGTTTTCTTTGGAAGCTAGCTGGGGGAGGTAGTTTTCCAAGGAGATCTTGAAGTATGGGGTTTTGTTAGGCATGGAATCTGTATCTCCATAGAAACTGGCCATGAGGAGAGCAACAAACAGAGGCGAAGGAATTTCAGCATTGCCAGACAGGCATCAGTGAAACAAGAAAAGTTCTCTTTTAAAAATGAGGAAAAATACAAACCTATCCAAGCAATACATGGGGGACAGAAGTGCTACTTATTGCTGAGAACTCAAGTATGAGGGTGGGAGATTTTTGCTCTTCAAAAAAAAAAAAATCCAATCTGTCGTACTTAGTAAGATTTTTTTTTATTCTTTTCCTTTCCAAAGAAAGAACCACCCTAAAACATTCTTTTGAAGAGATTCTTAACTAAAAACAAACTCTTGAGGAAAGAGATATTCTCCAAATCTTTACACCCTAACTTTTGTCAGAAAATATTGACAAGAAAGACTGTGTGAAGTAAGATAGAACACCAAGAAAATAATCCCTTAACAGAAAATCAAAATGTAAATGGAGTATAAACTGGTGTTGTATCATAACAGTGCTGTGTTGTGATTTGGAAAAGTACCTAAATAGTGGGAAGAAAATGGTCAAAAGCTTAGTAATAAAGGTATTTTGTACTTGTCCCTATTTTTAAACATTTGAGATCCATTTTCATATTATATCCTCTTTCTCCCTCAATGAACTCCAGAGCAGTTTGCAATCCCCCTGATTATATTTTCACAACAAGAATATGCTCATCGGAAAGAAATTATTGGTTATTACTTGACTATTATCAAATAATGTCCTGGAAGATTTCTGGATGATCTGCAATAGATCTTCAAATCTATAGGCTCAGTTTTAAACAATATTCTCTTAGACTGCCGAAAAAATTCATTGGGGGGAAAAAAGAAAGAAAATAGATTAGGATATGTTGAGAAGCATTCCATTCTTCAGTCCTTAGTGTATCTCTGAATTGCACTTAGCTCTAATGTATGGAATTCAGGGTTCTAATGAAAAAATTCATGCCAATCATACAATTCATGTTCAGTGTAAGCAATATTTAACAAACACAGTAGGAATCAGTAAGAACAGAAATGAAAAGGGGGAAAAATGAAACAGAGCCAAGTGTAAGTTATATCAACAGCATTCATTATTCTTTCCATAAACCTTGTGTCCTTCCAAACCATGCTTGCTTTCACTATTTCCATACACCACTTCAGACATGCCTATTTGTTGTTAAATTTATCTCTTGTCTAGTTTTGAGGATCTCATCTGAAATTTATGGCTGTATTCAGCCATAAATTTCTGAAACTTCTCTTTCCTCTGAAACTGGTCACTTTTTATTTATTTATATACTTAGTTAGTTAGTTAATCAGTCAGTCAGTCAGTTTGTATGGCCACCCATTACATAATGACTCTGAGCAGAAAACAATCTTAAAATAAATTAAAAACAAATTTCCATCATAAATACATAAATATTGAAATACCAGACAACAGAACCTTCAGATACATTCAGAGCTTCAGGCCTGGACATTTATTTGCTTTGTGATGTGATCATCATTTTTCTCAATTCACTTCATACTGAAGTGACTGAACCACTTCAATATTGCACAAGTGATTCATGTTCTCTTTTATCCATAT